ATAATTACTAGTCTAGCAACTTTTTCTAAATGTTAGCTAAAACAAATTAACACTTAAACCATATCCTTTGTTGTCTATAGAAAACAAAATATCGAAAAATATTCATTTTAGGGTTGATATATATGATCAGAAAAAAGTAATGGAAAGTACTCATTGAAAAAAGCACAAAAAGTCCTCTGAAATAATTCCCTGAAAAAAGAAAAAAGGAACTTTTAATGCAGCAAAATCTTTTACAAGCTCTTTTTATAATTTTTCTATAAGAATCTATTTTAAGTTACTATGCATGAGTATTATATCTGAATACTGATATTTTTTAGAGCTAAAAAAGGGCAGCATCTTATAGAAAACTACATATATGTATATGGTTTAATTAATAACACTCCTTTAGAAAATATGCATCTCACACTGTATGAATTAAAGCAGGACCAATTTACTCTGAATCTATTTCACACCAGGGTCACTTTCAAAAAGTCTTTTAATCTTTATACTCATATTCATATTCACAGCTCCATTTATGTACTTTCAGGTTCTTACAATAAAATGACATTTTAACTAAAGACTAAAGACAACACAAAACCACAATTATTGACAAATTTTGTCAAATTTTGAGTATTTATCCCACAATTGTATAAGAAGGACATTTTCAAACTATTAAACAACAATGTGTTGGAAGTTTAACTTTATACAATTTAATTTGATTTTAGTTTCAGATGTCTATTGATGAAAAATAGTACAAATACATGAAAAATGTGCAATTTCATATCAAATTGCCTTCAACAGCACCAAATAGCGCTGAATAACATTTTAAATCTATACAGAAATACAAATAATTGTTGAAAAATGTTTCAAGTATATGATATAGACTCTTTAATATTCAACTTCAAGTAGGATTTGACAACATGAATGTTTCACCCTGGTAGTGAATCAAATGCAGGTGATTTATCAAGCCAAAAAATATATATCAAAGACATTCTTAACACAAACCAAAATCATATTTGGAATATTAATTCTTTATATTGTATTTTAGATGCAAATTAATTCATTTTTAGTTAAAGTTGCCTTTCCATGTCAAATGCTACTCAAAAATAAAATGCAAAAAGTACTTTCTATTGGGTTAGATATTACTTCAAAACTGAATCCATTATTGATTAGAGATTGAGAATCCTTTTACTAGTTCAGACTCATGAGAATCTTATTCATGATGGTATGGTTAGTCAAATAGACTGCATAATTGTTCACATTTCCAGTAGGTAAAAATACAACAACAACAAAAAATAAACAGCTGTGCCATGAGCGCATGATACGCCTGTCGCTTTTTCAAAAAATAAAGTTCAATAACTTCTCAATGTCAAATCAGAAATTTATGAAAAACTAAAGGGAGGTTATCTTAACAGATATAAACCAGTCACCAAAGTTTTATAGAAACTGCTCAAAGCTCTTTAAAGATATTGTCCGAAAACTGGAAAATCACCCCTTTTTTATGAATAAAATCCCATAACTCAAAAACATAAAATCTAAAATTTATAAAAATTGAAAGGGAGCTTACATCAATAGATATAAACAATTCACCAAAGGTTCATGAAAACTGCTCATAATTTTACTTGAAGATAACTATTATGTAAAAAAAGTTATTTTTGAATACAACTATCCATTAAAATGAAAACAAAATATATGTCCCAGGTTAGGGGGAGGGTTAGCGCCTTCAAACATGTTTAACCCTGCCACATTCTTTATGTGCCTGTCCAAAGTCAGAAGCCTGCAGTTCAGTGGTTGTCTTTGGATCATGTCTGTCATATTTGTTTTTTCTTAAATTGTTTTGTTATATAAATCTGTTAGTTTTCTCAATTGAACTTTATTTGAAGTCAGAGAAGCATAAAGTGACCTACTTTTTATGGGTGGCAATATTCACAAAGAAGCATCCTTACTAAAAGTTGTTTGAATACGGACCACTTATCCTCTGATATCTAAACTTGGTCTTAACATTTATATAGTGTAGGTCCCATCTACCTACTTTTTAAAAGTGCATCCTTACAATAGGTTTCGTGGTTTAAAGTCGTATTGATTTTGAGATCGGAGTGTGGCAACACAATTGAATATAAAGTACAAGACACAATATGTTACAGTTCAAACAAAACAATGATGTTGTGTGCTATGAAAATATTCCATCATATAATTCTAAAAAGCAACAGGTGGCTGTATGGAATGCAATGAAGGACTGAAAGAATATTAATAAACTGTTGACACAGAGATATATCTCGCCTGTCTGCATAAAATTCTTAAAAAGACAACCTGATGGACAGCAATATTGCTTATTAATTCAAAGTAGCTGGACCATGATCTTGTGGGCAGGGCCTAGAAATGGTCGACAAACTGAGATGTAATGATAGAAATGCAACTTTATACAAAATATCATTGATCTATCACAAGTAGTTCTTATCAAACTGACTTAAGCAGAAAACTTAACATTGAAAATTGCTAATTAATTTTAAGTCACTGGACCATGACCTAGGGGGCAACGCCTCAAAATAGTCGTCAAACAGATATGTACTGATAGCAATGCAACTTCATACAAAATATCATTAATCTATCACAAGTAAATCCTATCAAACTTTCTCAAGCAGAAAACTTAACATTGAAAATTGATTATTAATTCAAAGTCGCTGGACCATGACTTAGGGGGCAGGGCCTCAAAATAGTCATCAAACTGATACTGATACTGATAGTAATGCAACTTCGTATTAAATATCAATGATCTATCACAAGTAATTCCTATCAATCTAACTTAAGCAGAAAACTTAACCTTGAAAATTGCTAGTTAATTCAAAGTTGCTGGACCATGACCTAGTGGGCAGGGCCTCGAAATAGTCGTCAAACTGATATGTACTGGTAGTAATGTAACTTTATATTAAATATCAATGATCTATCACAAGTAGTTCCTATCAAACTAACTCAAGCAGAAAACTTAACATTGAAAATTGCTCATTAATTCAAAGTCACTGGACCATGATCTCGTGGGCAGGGCCTAGAAATGGTCGTCAAACTGATATGTACTGATAGTAATGCGACTTTATACAAAATATCATTGATCTATCATAAGTAGTTCCTATCAAACTAACTTAAGCAGAAAACTTATCATTGAAAATTGATAGTTAATTCAAAGTTGCTGGACCATGACCTAGGGGGCAGGGCCTCGAAATATTTGTCAAACTGATATGTACTGATAGTAATGCAACTTTATATTAAATAACAATGATCTATCACAAGTAGTTCCTATCAAACTAATTCAAGCAGAAAACTTAACAATAGTTGAAGCCACCGCAGCAGCTGTCACCGCAGCCATCACTAGAAAAGCAATCCCTATGTCTCGCTTTCCACGACTTTCGTTGCAAGCAAGACAAAAACAAATGTCATTAAATAAGGAATCAGATTAGTATACATCAAATATTAAAAAGTAATCCATGTGTACATTTTTGGAATGCAAAATATCTCTCCCTTCCAGAAGCTTTGCCAAGGGGGACAGAGCTCAAATTTATGGCAGGAATAACTCCAGTAAAAACTTAAATGTAGTGATAATAATATAGGTCAGAGTGACCTTCTTTGTGACAGTTTTGCTTTATTCACCAAACTTAATCTTTAAGCAAACCTAAATACTTTGGTTGGTTTTTTTTTTATGTAAACCCCCAAATCACTTTTTATTTTAAAAATTGTCAGACATGATATCTTCCAATGGCACAACCCCTGTTTACGGTGGCCAGATGCGGCCATTTCACGTTTTCTCCATTCCTGAAAAGCCTCAAGAAGGATGCAGTTCCTTGGACATTGTTTATTTACTTGTAACTTGTTAGTATTTGAAAGTTTGAGTTTTACCAAGTCCATTCTAGCACAAGTCAATTGGAATGGATAACTAGATAATTCTGTTCAAAATATAATAACCCTAAAGTCACTTCATTTAGTTACGATTACATTTTGAAAATGCGAAATTGCAATAATTGATTAATCGGGAAATCGGGAAAGCGAGAAAGCGAAATCGGGAAATCGAGAAATCGATTTCCCGTTTTCGCCTTCGCGTTTTCGCTTTTTTGCTTTCTCAATTTCCTGATTTCCTGATTTTCTCAATTTCTCAATTTCTCTTTTTTTTTTTATTTCACGTGAAAGTGAAAGGGGAAAACGCGAAAAAGCCGCATCTGGCCACCATACTTGTTAGTTAACAATGGTTAATGTTCAAGTCTGCCATATGATTTAAAGAAGATGCCTATTTTCTTTGGTATATATTCAACATTTTTTCCCTTCACGGCTAATTTCAAACTTGCCTTATAGGTTCTTCATTTAGATAGAATTGTTCAAAGGTCACTGTCTCATTCAAGTTTCCCAATATTTGCATTTTTCATGTGTGGAAACCTGAGCACATTTACAGCCTTACAAATTTTTCTCAATTGAATTGTTACAAATATTGTCATGTCCACGGCCTTTATCATGTTACTTACAGTAAGGGTTTTACTCATTGTCAAACGCCATTCGGTTATCTTTAGTTGCTTACATTATCATCATTTGGTCTATGGTGGATAGTCTCATTGGAAATCATAAATTTATTTTGTTTGCACCACATCTCCTTTATATTTTTATTTTACAAGATATTTTTATTATTCTAACATGTCTTAAATAATGAAATGTTGAGTTCCTGCAACTGAGTTCATTACCAGTTTTTTTTTTTCTTTTTTAACTCGATAAATGATGTACTACTTAAAAAAACTAATTTTCTTATATCAAAATCGTTTTTATTATTCCTTTGTGTAATGTCTTTCCACATGAATGATGCATATATAAAATTGATATTAGATCCAAGACTTGCTACCTCCCATTAATGTAATTTATTGAGTCTTGAATAATAACCACTTCTTACAAATAAATGAGTTTTTTTCAGGTTGTGGTGATTACTTGTACTTGTATGATAGGGAAACTACCCAATGTTTGTTTCAGGTTGTGGTGATAAACTACACTAATCTGTTGACAAGTCAGTTGATTTATTGAATATGGTTAAATATGTCCATATTGAATCTTTTAAGGATAGGTTTCCTCTCAGGTATTCTACCACTTCAAATTCATGCGTGTAGTTCTTAAAGACTCAGTTCTGGAGGACTCCAAGTTATGGTGCACACAAGCTCTTTTATTGATCATGCTTGAAGAACAAACGGAAGACCAAGGTTGTCTTGTTGACTGTTAACCTTAAAAATACATAAAATTTTTGAATAACTATGCCATCTGAGTCGACAAGTTTAAATAAGATCCACATCAACAATATTGGAAAATGTCATGAATATTGCATAGACCCTAATATAAGATCATAAAGTATGCATCAGAGAGTAATAACAAGATATTTTAGTTACCAATATTCATATACAGACAGACAAGGGACACATAGTGATGACAATAGCCCATATTGGGTCAAGTAAGCTAAAAATGCAGTTTTGTCATCAGTGATCGCTGCTGCAAGACACATTTGAATTATCCATATATTAACTTTTACATAGTTTCACAACTGTTACATAAAAGTTAGAACATGAGTTCATACTATGATATGAAAAACAAACTGTGTATATTTGTTTCACAATAGGATCTTTGTACCTGCATACTGCTGAAAGGAAGGTGTTTCTTCTTGGCTTTCTTTTATTGTTAAATTGTCTTAACCTTATCAAGCATGTAGTATTTATCTAGTTTATATGTCAATGTTCACAACAGTATTCATTTCTTCATTTTTCTTGAAATGTATACAAATGGTATAGGAAAACCGAATTAACTAACCTTCAACTAGTGTGAAGGTCAACCAAAATATGTAATCAAATGACTTTAATGAAATGGATAATTGTAAACTGTTTCATGAAAATGTTAAAGGAATACTTCAAAATGTATGTACCATGGTGGTGTTAGCATTGCATGTGCTATATGAATAAATGAAGATGTTCTTTATGTAATGTGATGTCAACCAAACTTCACAATTAAACAATACAAATAATAATAATATCAATTACTAAAAGCAGTGCAAAATACTTTTGTATGCAAATTATTATTGCCATTGTTAAACAATGAAAAATGAGAGATTGGTTATTGATATTTTAGGAAATGTTGCATATAAATAATGCTATCAAAATTTAAAATGTAACTTTTTGTTTTTGCGAAACTGCCCCCGTTGCAATGTCACACAATAATAAAAAGATAGAAAAATTTCTGGATTTCCAGTGCTTTTTTTCTTAATCATGAATATTTACTGGGTCAAAGTTCCTGAAGGGTATACACATCTGACAACTAATACCTTATGTCTCTTTAGAGCAAACTCTTTTAATCATTCTGTCGTCTGCTGGTTCATCCTTCTTACAATTCCATCTAAACACACTGAACAACATGCATCCATTTCATCTGTAATTTCTGAAAATAATTGTAAAGTAAATTGTGAATAATTTCTATACAATGAAAGTAAAACAAGGTTATATATATATGATTACACAGCATGTACCTGCCTTACAAATTATAATTGACGTTCTTGTTGAGTCTTTGAGGTGAAAATCTTACTACAAATATCAGCCAAGGTCAGAGATGTAGATAATCTAGTGTTGTTTAAAGCCAGTCATTATATGACTATGGGCCTGTAAATAATATTTCAAATGTTGTTATCAACCATCAAATTTCTGATGTCAAAATGTAGTCATGAAGGTATAGTAGAAACTACAAAGTCTTTTTTCTCACTGTGAAATTGGATTGTCATTTATTGTTCAATTAATATAGCAGCATAAAAGGAATAAAATTAATCAATAATTCCCACCTGATTTCATATGGTTATAATGTAATATGTACCCTATGAAATATCCTATATCTTGTTATTAATTCAATATCACCACTTACTTAATTCATTCTTTATTTGATCTTTGACCTTTTCTGGTATTTTCATCCAATTTTCTGGGAAAGGATGTAACCTTTTTACTTTCCATACTTCTGTTGTACAAGTTGGAACAGGACAACTGTAAATAAATCCATATAAGTATTATCTGTTCGTTCAATTTTTCAATCCATTTAAATATATGTATCATCCAAGAAAACAATAAATATTTAATCAACTGCATAATCAACTTTTTTCAGACCAAAAGGAAATAATTGTTTGTTTGCCTTAACACATCTAACCCAGAAAATCCCAAAGAGTCAAATTCTTTTTAATTCCTTTTATTTTCAAATATATATGTCATTTGGTTCAGTGGGGGATCCAGTGGGGAGGGGGGTTGGTACCACCCCCCCCCCTTTTTTTTTGGACGATCAATGCTTTTAAATGGGGACATATGGTTGGAACCCCCTCTTTTAAAAATGGCTGGATCCGCCCCTGTGGTTTCTTACTCTTTATTTGTTTTAGCGCGGAAGGTTATCTCTCCCTTCATTAGAATACCTTATCTCAATTACGTGCTGGCTGCATGTACTATGCTTCCAGTTTTATCAGAATCACATTACTGAAAAGCCTCAAGAAGGATGCAGTTCCTTGGACATTGTTTATTTACATTGTACTTCTAACTTGTTAGTTTTTGAAAGTTTGAGTTTTACCAAGTCCATTCTAGCACAAGTCAATTGGAATGGATAACTAGATAGCTCTGTTCAAAATATAATTACCCTCAAGTCACTTCATTTAGTTACCATTCCATTAAATGAACTGACTCCCAGGATGAATGACATTACCAGCCATCATCATATGAGTATTTTGATTGGATAAATAATTTCACTGTCCTTTTTATTGGACTTTAATAGTGTACATGATGTAGGCCAGTAATTCATTTGTTTGTCCGGGTCCTATATATGTATACATATATTTGTCCATTCATTTAATAATTTGTCATTGAATTCAAACGAATGAACATATCCTTGACTGTATTTACTTCTATAATACATACATGTATAAATATTTACCTTGAACGGTTCCAAAATACATCTGTTGGCTTCCGCGAAGTATTATCTACAGCTACAACATAATCAAATTTTGAGCTTTTCACAATTTCTGTAAATGTGTCTTCTAGTTTTGTGGCAAGATGACAAGTTCCTTTAAATTTTTGTATATCTTCTTCAGATGGCAATGAGGAAAATAAAGAATGGTGAATCATGAGCCATAAGTCAATAACTGCAGAAAAATTAAGTTCATTACAATCTTCATTTTGAAAAATAGGTATGCCCTTGTTTTCCATTCTTAAAAGATAATCATACTCTGCATTATACAAAGCCATCATATATCTGGTATTATTTAGTAAACAAACAGGTATCATTGAATTAGCAGAAACATTATGTACATCAGTGATGTTTAAGTGTCTTTTATGTTTCCACAAAGATACAGCTATTGCCTGTTTACATATTTGGTTAACTTGATTATCAGTAAATGCTGTTTCTATATTTAGCTCTAAAGTGTCAAACTCATCTTGAGATAGTTCCTTATGATTATCAATGTCTTCCTCCTGCCTCCATTCACTCTGTCCATCTATGATTTTGAATAGAGATGAATTCTCTTTATCATTCCAAATTGTATTCTTTGCAGATGGGAACATTATGATGTCTGCTGGACCATAAAAAAGCTGATGACTTCCTAAAAAAAATGATTGAAGAAGAAAAATGAAAAGTAAAAAGATTAATGAATCACAGGCAATCAAATATACCATAAATAAAACAGAGCAGACAACAACATTGCCAATACAAGCACAAAAAGTCAACCAATGATCAACAAAACAAAACCTTGACATAGAAAACAAAAGATTAGTCAACAGGAGTCTTACTGAAACTCTGGAGCTCTGACAAGTAATCATGTGTGCTTTTGATGTGTACAAAAAAAGTGATGTTATATTCTGTAATAACCATTGAATGCAGAAACGACAAGGCATGATGCTGTTTTCATTCCTAATTTATGGAAATAGAGCACTTTCAAGTTTGTTACATTTCCTTCAAAAACTTTGGTTTTAGTGAACATCATTCATGCATTTAGCCGCATCGTCACTTCCTTCCCATGTTCAGCGAGCTGTTGAAAAAAATATGATGCTATATTGCATGAACTATTCGAAAAATTTAATTCTTGTGATTAAGTACCCACAGAATAAACATTATTTCTAGTTTATCATGCATAATGACAATCACAAAGACGCTTGATGAACCTTAATAGTGCAGCGATACAGGCGGTCCTCTATCTGGTAAATGACGTATAAAGGCGGGCATAATTGATGAACTCTTCCAGTGACAGACATAACATGAAAGTGGTCTATTACATAAAAAATTTTACAACTGTAATTAATATGTACTTTCAACAACCATCAGAAAGTAAGATCTTTAGCAAATAGGCTGCATAAAAAATTTTGAAATGCCATCACTTGTTCATTGAGTCTTACCAATATTAGTAAATCCATAGTGTATTTGACTGCCACATTCACAAGGACATTCTCCAGTTGGTTTCTCCAAAGAATTCACATCAATTAAATAGTTTGTTGGATGATAAAGGAGTTGAGAAAGAAGGTGATTGGTCATCACTATAATTACTTCAGTTTCTGACAGCTTAATATCTTTCAGTTTTTGTAGGCTTCTTTCATGAATTTCTGAAAAATATTTCAATAATGATCATCCATATCACAATAATATAAATACAGTCCAAAGAATTGTACTGATTTACTCTGGGCATTGCACAATAAACTGTAATTATAGCAATGTATAATAAAACTTTGAGCTTGCTTTCAGTGAATTGTGCTCATGAACATTCTTTGATACAGAATTGTTTTCCTTGTAGTTGTGTATTTTATTATCTTTTATACATGTGACATCTGATGGTGTTCTGCAATGTACTAAAAGAAAACAGTATATCATCATATCATGTTTATGAATATCACTAATCCTAAACCTCACCTGATCACAAAAAAAAATCATGAAATATTGAAACAGAATTATGCAAAACAGCAGGATATTCAATAGAAATGGTCTTTTGTTGTTCTTGGTATCAGAAAACAAGACCTGAACAATTTCAAAATTCAGTCACTGAAGCACAACTATGAGACTGGTCGATTCATGTATATAAACATGATAAATGGGTTTTGCTTGAATGATGGATGACAAATGAGTATGACCTTATATTATTAATATACATTTTTTGTACAAATCTATATATGATTTGCACATGAAATACATGTAATATTATTCTTTTTTATGACAAAAATTCAGTAGAGCACACATATGATTCTTTGAAGGAAGTGACAGTTTCTATCTTTTGATCTGAATGTGGCACACCATTAGTCCATATGGGATTTTATCATTTCTGTTAAGAGTTATTTCCCCTCAGGTTGGACAATGGACATTGTTGTCCCTGTGCTATGATTTGTTCAATGTAAATCTTGTAATCATGCTTGAACTCCTCTTTTATAGTAACTGTCTTCACACATAAAATTAGGCACATTCATGTCATTGAAATGGCGGAAACAACGGTACCAAGAGTGAGATGTTTGAAGGTGATTTTTTTCATGTATGCTTTAAGTTCAACTCTTATAAACCTTTTTTAAGCTTTTATATGCAAAAAAAATCATCAAAAACATTTATTATTTTTTTCTCAAATTGCTGATTTTAAGCTTGATTTTACTTCGATCCTTCAGTTGCTCTTACTTGACCAAAATGTTTTACCACAGAGTAGGTAACCTGATGAAAAATTTTATACTCTGGAGTCAAAATTCAATGATATGGAAATCACCTATTCATATATACGACAAACATGTACCTTTATTTTTATAAAATCTTTCAAGTGCTGTAAACGCTGGAATGACATCTTGGTCTAAAATTTCACCATTGGCATATTGCTGAAGAGTTTCATAACCTTTTCTATATATATTAGACGAGTAATCCCCTATGCCTTTTATTTCAACTTTGACATCACATTGATCCCCAAGTTCCATTTCATCATTCAAGTTATAATATGGGAAATGCCATACACTGCTATTGGAGGAAAATGGTTCCCCTAGTTGATTGTTAACCTTCCGTCGAAGAAATGTCAATGGAGCAGCGTCAGCTACAACAGCATATAAATTGTATTCATGGGGATTATTTTTATCAACGTAGTGCCTTATTTCTTCTTTCAAACAATCGTTCTTGTCTTCGTTGATATTAACAGATAATTTTTGCTGACTTCTGTATTTTGATATTCGTGAGAAATTCCGTTGAAACAATTTTGCAATGCTCACAAACCTATTGAACCTAAATATTTGATCATGCATAATAAAGGTTATGTACAGTTGTGACAGAAACACTCAAACAGGAGAATCAGAAGTAGTATGTTTACATTGTGTTTACATTTGCAATGGATATTATATAGATAGGGGAGAGCAACAAGAGAGTCGTGTTTTTCTTTTTGTTTCATTTTGTTAATGACTACTCCGACTTAGGATAACCTCTTATTTTTACATTTTTCTAAGTATGATTACTATTCAAAAAATATTTTCACTTTTACATTCTACCTAAAAAAGTTAAATGAAAATGTTAATGGGTTACAGAATTTTGTTGTTTGATTCAATATTGTGTGTTCAACCAAGGACCAAGAATTGTATATTTAAATATTCAAATTGGTCATATACGGGGAGATAACTACTATAATCTAACTTTTTATAAAGGAGTCGGTAAATTTAACTTTTTCGTCAGTTTTGTAGCAAAACCACATGTCTGCCAAATTTTCAAAATCTCCATGGGGGGTGTTATGCACAAGAGGACCTAATGCATACCTATAAATGTCCTTAGTGTACTTAATTAGAACATCTATGGTTTGAAAAGTAAGTAAGTAAGTAAGTAAGTAAGTAAGTAAAACTTTATTTGGATTCGGCATATTGACACATAGTCCAAATAATTGTGACGTCTTAAAAGGCTATTATATTTTTTTGCTTTGACGCTGGCCGGCGTCAATTTAACCAAAAAAATATAATAGCCTTTCAAGACGTCATAATTATTTGGACTAATTGACACACAAATAAAACGCAAGCTCTAATGAGCTTTTCGACGAATATAAAAACATAAATAATAACAAATAAAACAAGGCATGCAGCATGCACAAATAAATAGTAATAAAACAGCACCACATTAACTCTAGCATATTATGTATCTTGCTAACACTAAAAATTTTCAGTAAATAATTTAAATCAAATGGCAATGAATGTGAATACATGTGTTTTAATGTATTTTTCACTCCTTTGAATGACTTTTTAAAAGTATTTAGTCTAAATAATTGAGTTTGATAAGGGTCAGTCAGGTCAAGACCTCTCATGAGGGATATCCCTCGTAAAGGGGGGAAGTTGGCAGATCTGAAACCCGATAATTTTTTTTTTGGTAATGTAGGTACATGATACATGTTATAAGAACTATGTTCTCATATTTTATTTGATAATTTTATCTTTTAGTTTTCTTTCTATTGGCACAAGAAATTGTTTTCCCCCTGTAAAATTCATACAAAATCTGACAATTTTGCACAACCATTAGTTTGAAAAAAGCACCGTGACCCATACTTTTTTCAAGTCAGCCTACAAACATTTAATCACAGTGACATGAATACTTTAAAAACATATTATCACCAGAACTAATATTATAGTGAAATTTATCACTAAATTCATTATCATCCGTACCTGACCGTGACTATATGATAAATTAAAAAAAAAAGGATTATTACCATTTAAAACATTTACGCCCCTTACCTCAAACCCATGGATCCGTCCAGCTTTCAAATGGTTGGAAATCCAAAAGAGTCAAATTTTTTAAAGCAGATAGCAAACCAAAATATCAAAAATAGTAAAGCCACGACAGTTTTAAGAGCATCATTGTGTTTCTAGGGAAGGAGGGATGAAATATTTACGATGAAACACGGCTTAAACGATTCTGTAGAAGATGACAGAAAAGTAAAAAAAAGTGGGAACCACAGATATTTGTGTTTGGTAGATGACGACTGCCTGTTCAATATATATACAAGATATCGTGTCATATTTATCCAATGCATTGTCGAATTCATGAACTTATTGCACCGTTGTATAAGAGGTCACAGCTAATGACATAAAGCCAGCTTGTAGCTTGGACACCATATGCAAAGTCAGAATAGTCCGAGCTGCATGTTGAAGTTTTTAATTTTCTTCTTATATATAATTGTATATTGCCGAATTCAGCTCCACTTAGCTTACTGGGTTAAGTTGTAATCCCTTGTACATCCTAAAACGTAAGGTTTATAATTGTATTGTAAGACGGAAGAATTTATCTTTAATCCTTTTTATCTTAAGTCTTACAAATTATTTGGTTCGACATGATGTTTTTCTTGATTATAAACAGTAGCGGTAGCGTTATAGTAAGAAATGCGCTGTAACGTAGAAACATGGCAAGGGAACCTGCGAAAATTCCGTGTGAACAAATTAACAAGTATTGTGGTTGTACTTTTCATTGTGTTAAATATTGTTATTTTGAACGAAATTGACAATTTAAAGTGGAAAGATATGAATTACGATAACATATCAAAAATGAATGTTATTAACAGAAGGAGTAATAGTAACAATACCAACAGAGTTGACCGATTTAGAAAGTTTTTGAGAAACAATAATGCTAACTTATTGTTTGAGAATGGAGCGATTAGTACTGATGTTCAAGAAGTAAATACGTCTAAGTTAGTGTGCGATGATAGATTTGTAATTTTCACATCGTTTGAACCTACGACTAAACGCGAAGTTGTTCATAATAACACAAAAAGAAATTGGCCTTCTCTAGACTGCCAAATAAGGGCAGTGTTATTTACAAATAATTCGGCGTTGGCAAAGGAATTTAGATTGGAAGGATGGGACATTTTACCTATACGGTATGTGTCTGAATCGGACACTCCTGTACTTAAACATATGTACATTACTATATCTAGGCATTATAATGCTTCTATTATTGGTTATGCGAATGCAGATATATTATTTACATCTTCTTTAAAGCTAACTTTGGAATTTATGAATAAATATGACAAGACTATTGGCACACATTTTATGCTAACTGGAAAGAGGATAAATATTGAAAATTTGACAATCGACGAAGCAAGTTCCGTTCGCTCATTGATACAGGCTTCTAAAGATCGAGGGACTCTTTTCAGAAATGATGCTGAAGATTATTTTTTCACGAATCGGTTTTTCCCGTGGAATTCGTTACCTGATCTTGTAATTGGTCGACCTGCATACGACAACTTTCTCTTGTTGTTTGCAAGAATGTGCAATTTTAGTACGTTTGATCTAACACAAACTGTAGACGCTATTCATCAAACGGTTGACAAAGGATATTTACAAGAAAAGTGGAACTCGACAAAGAGTGAAAGTGTTTATAATCGGTTTATCATACTACAAAAATATCGGAATGTAAACTATCATGCAGGTCAGATGAACTGCTTGGCGTTCGAAACAAGAAGAGAATCTAATGATATTTACATCCATAAACGAACCAAGATGGAGAGATATTGTAAATTCTATACGGCGGAAATTTCTAAGACAAAGCCACTTCCGCTTAATATGCAAATAAAAAGGAGGAAAAATCGAAAACAATCAGAAATTTTAAATTCAGCAGAAAAAAGACTTAAACATAAACTTTTATTTCGATAAGACCAAATAACTTTAAACTGATTGTACCAATCGTGATAAATTGTTCGCACTATTATATACAATGTTGTATAACTTAATTACAATTACTTACACATCATTTATCTGCTATTTTACGTTTTTACTAACTTGGAGTCGTTACCACAGGAACTTTTCACTGGAAAAAAACCTATATACTTTAATATAACGTGTTATATTAAAAGTATGTAGGTAGTTTTTTTTTCAGAGACCAGCTGGGCCCGTATGCATAAAACATCTTAACTTAAGTGTTCCTTAAACTTAGATTTCAATAAGAATTCCCTTAGTTAAGTAAAATTCTTAAGTCGTATGCATAAAATTACTTAAGTCTTCACTTAACTAAGGAATACTTAAATCGGAACCTTTCTCTAATTACCGTATGATATATGTTAGCTCGTCGCATGTACTCATCCGTGTAAAAGTTTGTTTTGATTATTTACATTGATTGAACAATACATAACTGTATAAAGAACTGGGGTTAATTTGATGTTGGTGTGTAAAACAATTATCAAATACGTAACCAACTAAAATAACCAAACAAATTGGTTCATAAAAGAAAAGGTTGTTTTGGTGGGCGAGCGTGGGAAGAAAAAAATATTTATAATGCAAAACTTCCTCCTACTGTTACTAAAAGAGAGATGAAAGGGGATTGGAAGGAAATTGATTGATTTATCGATGTTCGCTGAAAGTCCAGTGGCAAACATGTCATGCATGTTCAGGACGAGAACAAATTAACAATTATAGATAAAATAAGTGGATCTTGTAATAGACGCTTTCCGAGATGAAAGTCAAGAAAATTTGGACTACCACTGGAAAATGTAGGCATATTGGATAGGGACAGAATTCTCCTTTGCAACGGTTCACTTACGGACCCCAAAGATTCGTTGTAGGTGTGAGAGTGTGGCACTCTCTCTACACGAGGCATAGGATTTAACTCCCTATTCTGACCGGACGTGGTTGCGTACTTGTACATCCCGCAGAGCCAAACGAACGTCACGTTTTGGCAAGAGTTTTACTGCTTGTCGGAAATAGATCAAACACCGTATTTCTGGTCGCCACTCACCCTTAGGGCTGGAAAAAAAAATAAATATATATCAATATTATAAGTAGAAAAAAATCCCTCAGGAGAGATTCATGAGAGATCCAAAAGAAGTGGGACAACTTATGCATGGCGTGATAAATGTAAAATATCAAAAGATTCCGAGTCATCCACTTGCAATTCATTCTTTTTAGCAATCAAAACTTCAATCATGCACCTGATGAGTCGCTGAATGGAAACTCAACATTATCTTGTATCAAACCATCCAGCCTAATAATGGTATATGCTAGTAAAATCTAAATTACAAAATAAATCCACGTCATGATATTTATAAAAAATTGAGCAATTATCCAAAACTGGCGAGAAGGACCTTCTTATTATTTTATTGGGAGTTATAACATAAATTTCTTTCAGATACACCATAATTTATTTAGGTTAAAGTCTTCCTTCTATGCAAACTTTGCAATATTTTTGTTTTTTGGTCTTACATATACATAATTTATATAGACTTCGAATTCCACGGAGTAGGTCTTAAAAACGTTTTGATTTTGTCCCAGTTAGTGAAACAAATTCAGGGGACATTTTCCTAATATATGTAGAAATGAACAATAAAATTGAAAATTAAACCGATGCCCTCCCCCCACCCCCTGTCATTTAATCGGTCTCCGGAG